TTCTCCCACGGGGCCACCATCATCTCCCCCAGATGCCCCAGCAGCCTCCTTCCTAACTGGGCCCCTGCTCGAGCCCCGTACCCTCTGAGCTGGGGGCAAGGAGGCTCTGCTCCTGGCTCCGCCCCTCCGCCCCAGCCACGTGCACCCAGGTCTGCCTGCTCACCGCGGGGCACCAGCGTGATGGCCAGGATGCAGAGCCCAGCCAGCACCAGCGATGCGACCTGCATGGGCCTGCGGCCCAGGTGCCTTAGCAGCAGCAGTGTGCCTATCTTGGCTGGAATGTCAAAGGCCCCAAAGAGGACCTGGAGCAGGAAGATGTTGCTGGCCAGGGACTGCAGGTCCAGGGCCAGGCCGTAGAAGGCGAAGCCAAAGGCAAACCTGGGGGTGAGACAGATGGAGTCAGACTGGGGAGCGGATTGCTCCTGGGCTTGTTTGTTCTCAGACCCATTTCCACCCCGCTTCTGCAGGCCTTGTATGGCAGAGGGTGGTCTCTGTAGACGACATTTCCCAGGTCCCCTCGCTCGAAGAGTTCTGCTCTTCATTGGGTCTGGGGTCAATAGGAGGCCCTGGTGAGAGGCTGGAGGCAGGGCCAAGGGAGAAGCTGCGGTCTTCTCCCTCCCTTTCCCTGAGGGCCATGTCTGGCAGTGGCTATGTCCCCTCCACAGCTCCAGCTTCCACTGAGCAGGCCCAACCTCTGAGGCCTCGCTGGTTTCAGTCTTTGCTGGGTGGTCCTGGCTCCTGGGCCCTGATAATACCTCTCTCTCCTCCCTGGTCCCTCCAAACAAGGGTGGATGTGTCTCTCTGCCGTTGAACCCGCTGACTGCCTCATCCTACTGGGCTCTTCAGCTCTCCCAGCGCCTTTGTCATGAACCCTCCTCATTGATCTCTTCTATGGATTCAGCTGCCTGAGCCCACCTGGCCTGGGCCGTTCCCTCAGAGGTGTCAGTGCTGGAGGCACAGGTCTTGTCCTAGAGACTCTCCCAGGCCAGTGGGACCAACAGGAGAGTCAGCAGAGGTCCGCTGGCTGGATGCCAGCTAGAGCCCTGATCCTAGGTTCACGGGCCCAGGTAGGATGGGGGTTGAAGGGGCATCTACCAGCACAGAATGGAGACACAGGTCCGGAGGCCCAGTCCAGGTGTGCAAAGCAGGGTGCTCAGGCTGGCGGGCGCCTGCCTCACACTCAGCTCCTCTTTCATGGCCGAGAGCAAGACCTGGGGTGGGGGAGGGGGGGAAGGGGGTGTTGGGCACTTTCAGCACTGGGGGCTCCAGGCAGGCCCTCCTCCCTAAGACCCTTATCCCAGGGGGTTGGGACCCCTGATTGGCCTCCCAAGGACCCTGTGCAGAGTCAGGGAGAGGGTCTGAGGGCCCAGCCCTGCGGGAAGGCCCGGCCCTGCCTCACCTCCATGGTCAGTGTGTTCTTCGCTGCCCTCTTCCCGTTGATGGCAGCCACTCTCTGCAGCTCCCGCAGGCCCTGCTCCAGCCTGCCCGTGACGAGAAGCCATCGTGCTGACTCTGCCAGCCACCTAGGGCAGGGGGTAGGAGGAGGAGCGCGGGAGGGGGTCGAGCGCGGGAGGGGGTCACGCTGCCTGTGGCCCTCAAGGTCTGGCTCCAGTGAGTGGCCCAGGGCCTGACTTGAATTAGCCTCACTGCCCCTTTTTCCCAAGGGGGTGGCCTCACTGGTACCCACAGGCCCTGGGCTCAAGGTGGTGATATCCGTGGGTGGGCAGTGAAAAGTGCTGTGATGCGTGGCATCCGCACCATCTCAGCCCCCTCCTTCCCCAGCAGGAGTACCCGTCCTCCCTCCTCCTGCCTCCCTCCCTTAGGTTGGGGTTGGGGTCCCTGTTCTCTCCTTCCTGCCTCCCTCCGGACTCCATGGCCCTTCCCTTGCCTCACCTGGGAGTCAGGGCTGGCTACAGGAACACATTCTTGCAAGCCCGTCACAGGCTACAAGCCTGCCACCAGGGTCCTTCCTCCACTGTCTGGCACTGCCTGGGTGTCACACGACCCTCCATGGCTGTACCTTCCTGCCTGAGCAGGCCCCCCTCCTGGTGGCCCTTCCTGCAAACAGCTTTCCAATTGCCTGAAGGGCTCAGGCCTGGAGCCAGGTCTTTGGTCCTGACAGCACCAGCCCCTCCCCACCTGCACCCAGTCAGCCAACAGTTCTCGTGATCTCGAGCACCCCTTGCACCAGAATGGCCCCACGGCCCTTGCCTCAACTTCTGCTCTGTTGTCCGAGCCAGGATGAAAGCAGCCCCCTCCTGGGTGCCAGCTGGCCACACACACAGCGGCGCCCCCTCCCCATGGCAGGACCCAGAGCCTAACACTAACCTGGCTCCCATGGCCCTCCACATCAAGGCCAGGCCTCCTGCACTGTCAGCCCAGCTGACGAACCCCTGTAGTGCCCGCCTCTCCACCCTGGCTCCTGCCCCCCCACCCCGACCTTTGCTCATGCAAGTTCCCCCGCCAGGCACGCTTTCCCGCTTTCCCAAGAGCAGCAGCAGGGTGAGGCGCCTGCTCCACACCCACCAGGGCCCTGAGGTCCTCTGAGGCTAGAAGGGAGAAATCAAGGTGCCTGTTAGAGGTAGAGTGGACAAGATGCAGTGACCTGCTGGACTGGGGTGAGGGGATGGTGAGGGAGAGGAGTCATGGCAACTCTGACTCCAGTACCTGGTGGGTGGTTGCTGCTGTGAAGGCTGGGGGGTGCCTTGGGGAGGAGCTGTGTAAAAAGATGTTACATTTTGGTGCTGTGACACCAATCATGGAGATGTCACACAGGCGGTTGGAAACAGCAGTCTGGTGGCCAGGGAGAGGCAGGACTAGAGAGGGAATTCAGGGTCTGCAGCATTTGGAGGAGAGCTGTGGGCACAGGTGAGGCTGCCTGGGGAGAGGGCACGGCGGGAGCAGAGAGATGGCGACAGGGTCGAGGTGGGTGACAGGAAGGAATGCGGGAGG